TTCCTGTTCATTATTATTTTCTCTGTTCCTAATTCTTTCACACCCTGTAACCCCTTTTGTCTTACATGGAGTGATATCGATTAAAGAAATATATTGATTAGAAAATATCTCTAGCTTACTTTTTGATCATCCTACTTATATATAGGGAGACCCCAAAAAACGGGAACTTTTTAACAATCCAATAAAACCAAGAGTCATGGAAGAAATATATTTTATTCATAGTAATTGAAACCTTAAAACATGCCATTTAAGAAACACTGATGGAATTTTCATTTTTTTTAAATTACGTTCTGTAGATGGCCTCCTTCTGTACGAATGCATTCTTGAAATCTGCTGTTGAGATTCCTCATTGACTGCTGCAACATCTCAGCTGGAATACTGTGAATTTCATCTTGAATGTTAAATGGCGAAATGTTTACTTGCTCAAGGTCACTATCTCGCAGTGTTGCCACTTGCTCATGTCTAGCAATACGCACTTCAAAAATTCCCGTTTATTTGGGTCACCCTGTACATCGTAAGTTCTGTTGAATAAATGCTACATGCGTTTTGAAGTGAGACGTTTTAGCGTAAATGTTCATCCATATATTTTGACGATAACAAATAATGTAACGTGTTGTTTCTTTCTGTTTTCGATGTTTTCGTCTATCTATTCTTGTTAATTTATTTGTTATTTCAATTTTTGTTTCTACTGTTGCGTTAATTTTGGTGTTCATAATTACTTTGCCATTTTTTCCTTCCTTATGGACATTTATTTTTGTTTGGTGTTGTCTTATTTTTATTTTATTTTTTTTTGTTTTAGCGATGATCGGAAACTTTTGTTTGTTTCTCCGTTTCTTTCCATTCTAAATTTACTTTCTTCCTTTATGTCCCCGCAACAATTACGACATATTTAATTTCCCTCGAGTGTGTCGACACGAACAAAAGGAATGTTACGTAAGTTCTCTTACACAAGAAAAACGATCGTTAATTATAGGCACTGAAATGAAGATAAAAATGAAAGACACCGACAGAGAAATATCATAATCCCACAATCATGGATAATAGAATTTCTGAAGATGGTAAATATCTCAAAACAACTACAACGTGAGTAATTAATAATAATAATAATAATAATAATATCCGGTTACGGAGATAGGACCTGTTACAATTCTATGGGATTACACAATACACACTGACAGAACAATCAAAGCCAAACGCCCAGATATTGTTATTAAAGACCACAAACAAAAACGGTGCCTCCTTATTGATATGGCAGTCCCTGCTGACTGCAATGTATCTTTGAAGACATTAAAAAAGCTGTCAAAATACAAGGACCTTGAAATAGAAATGTCGAAAATGTGGCATATGGGAACATCAACAATCCCTGTTGTAGTTGTAGCCCTAGGACTGGCTGGAAAAGACTGCAGTAGACTAAATGAAGGGATTCCTGGAAGTCCATGCCTCAAGGAGATACAAAAAATTGTTCTGACAAGTACAGACCACACGTTACGAAGGGCTTTATCTATGTAATATCTTTTTTTTTTTTTTTTAGTGGAAAGTGTCATGATGCCATTTCTAACCTTAGGTCCCTGTGTGGGACCCGGAAAGAAATGTGTAAACGCCAGAAATCAAAGAAAATAATAATAATAATAATAATATCAGTCCTTAACCCCCCACTTCGCATAGATTAAAGAGTAATAACTATGGATACAAAGTAAAATTAAGAAAATGTTTAATCACTTATTCTACATGGATGATATCAGACTCTTTGCGAGAATGAGTTGAAGAGTCTCCTCCATATTGTATAATGTATCAGTGATGATTTCGGATTAGATAAATGTGCAAGAAATGGAGAACTACAGAAAGACACTAAATAGATCGAGATTTTGTCAAAAAGATAAGAGAAGTGAAACAACAAGAAGCCTATAGGTATCTAAGAATTAGCAAAGATGGAATACACCATACCGAAATGAAGGAGACATTAAGAATGGAGTACTACAGGTGTGCGCGTTTGGTATTGAATACCGAGCGGAATTTAAATAACAGAATATCAGCCATAAACACTTTGGCTGTCCCTGTGGTGCAATGCAGTTGAAACATCCTTAACTGTACCATAGCTGACATTAAGCGATTGGACACTAAAACGAGAAAGTGTCTCACTTGCCACTGTATGCATCATCCCAAGGCTGATGTTGATCGTCTGTATGTGCCCAGATCCGAAGGAGGAAGAGTATTAGTTCAACTAGAACTGTCTTACAAAACCACATTGGTCTTCAAATGAAGCTGGAAACTAGAGAAGACTGGATGATGATCTATGGCAAGGAACATGAAAGATATAAGATACTTTTTCCAGTAATAAAGGAAAGCAACAAATTCAAAAGGGAATTTCAAGTGAGTGAAGAAGTGCAAGTAAACCATAATGTAAATATCCTAAAAAAAAAAGAAAGCCAAAGCAAATACAATGTACTAAATGCAGAAAGGAATCTATCCGTACCAAACAAGCTGAGGTAGACAAACCCCTTACCCATCAGTGGTTACGTAGGGCAGGGTTACAAGCTGAGACCGAAGGTTTTATTCTTGCTTCAAAAGACCAATGCTTGTTAACTAGAAATTCCCAAACACAGATACTGAAAATTGTGTGAGACCAAAATGCAGATCCTGCGATAAATATCCAGAAACAATTGACCATTTAGTATCAGGTTGGCATCAACTGAATATGAGTGGGCGAATACCTACATTGGAAAATCTGCAACTTTTACGGAAAGTAAAGTTACCCAAACCCGTTTACGGAGATAGGGCCTGTAAGAATTTTATGCGCCTTTATTATACACACAGACAGAAGAATCACAGCTAATTGACCAGACATCGTGATCAGAGGCGACAAAAACAGAATATGCCTTCTTAGTGAGATGACAGTCCCTGCAGGTGGTAAATTTAAAAAAAAACTGTCAAAGTGCAAGGAACTTGAAATCGAAATCTCAAAAAAAAAAAAAATGAAAATGAACTGAAGGTTTTATTCTTGCTGCATGAGACCAATGCTTGCTAACTATACTTGCACATAAACTGAAAAACTATGTTAGACCAAAATGCAGATTCTGTGATAAATATTCAGAAACAATTGAACATCTTGTATTGGTTTGCACAATGTTATCTCTAACTGAATATAAAACTCAGCATGACAGAGTGGACCAATATCTTCATTGGAAAATCTGCAACATTTAGGGAAAAGAAACTGCAAAGAATTGGTAGGAACACTACCCAGACCCGGTTACAGATATAGGACCTGTAAGAATTTTATGCTATTTGACAATACACACATGCATAAGAATCAAAGCTAATTGACCAGACATCGTGATCAGAGGCCACAAAAACAGAATATGCCTTCTTAGTGAGATGACAATCCCTGCAGGTGGTAAATTTAAAAAAAAACTGTCAAAGTGCAAGGAACTTGAAATCGAAATCTCAAAAAAAAAAAAAAAAAATGAACTGAAGGTTTTATTCTTGCTGCATGAGACCAATGCTTGCTAACTATACTTGCACATAAACTGAAAAACTATGTTAGACCAAAATGCAGATTCTGTGATAAATATTCAGAAACAATTGAACATCTTGTATTGGTTTGCACAGTGTTATCTCTAACTGAATATAAAACTCAGCATGACAGAGTGGACCAATATCTTCATTGGAAAATCTGCAACATTTAGGGAAAGGAAACTGCAAAGAATTGGTAGGAACACTACCCCGACCCGGTTACAGATATAGGACCTGTAAGAACTCTATGCTATTTGACAATACACACATGCATAAGAATCAAAGCTAATTGACCAGACATCAGAGAACACAAAAACAGAAAATACCCTCTTATTGACATAGCAGTTCCTGCAGACTGTAATTTATCTTTGAACATCTTCAAAAAAAATATCAAAATAGAATAATCTAGAAATGGAAATCTCTCAGTCGTAGTTGGAGCCCTCGGATTGATTGGAAGTGATTCCAGTAGACTCATTGATGGGATTCATGTTTTCTTGAAGAAATAAAAAAAATGTACTCACAAGTACAGTCCACAGTTTACGAAGGGCTTGTAAAATATGTGTGGGTCTTATGTGTTTGTTTTTCTCAAAAACAAAAACGGGGAAAATGTCATGATTTGATTTCTGACCTTCGGTCTCTGTCTGGGATCTGTAAAGAAATGTGTATACTCCAGAAATCAAATCAAATAAAATAATAATAATAATAGAAAATAAATATATAAATAATAATTTATATAAATATCTGTGAACTTTCAGTGTTTTTTTAAATCAACCATTAGTCCTTGCATACTGCCATATCTAGTAAAGCCAAAATTAAAAAGAAGCTTTTATAATATTATTGGTTCTGGCATCTTGAGGTCTGTCATTTTGCCACCGCCGTGACGTAGCTAACCTGTGTGTTTTCTATAAATATTTTCATGACAAATGTTCTCTTTATTTTTACCAGAGCTGCATGAAATTAAGCGTCCTGCTACATTAAGTTGCCTCATTTTACTGTTGAATTCGCTAGTAAGTTCTAATCTTATTGTTTCTATTCTCGCACTTTTCACCTGTGGAACGCTCTTCCAGTTTTTTTTGCTTCCCTGTCACGTATTATCTTAATTCATCCCAACTTTTGTCTTTTTCCTGACATTGCCTCACTCTGTCTTTTCTATAAAAATTCTAACAATTATTTACATTATTCGGACTGTTATCTTCATCTTCATTGCCATATTCACAAGGTTTCAACCGTTGTACGCTGCGGCCTTCATCAGGTGATTGAAATTTCGAACCGAACTCTTTATTTTGTACACTGGGGTAGATTTTTCTAATCCTAGTTGCCATGCCTCTTCCTCGAGAACACATGGCCCAATGGATAAAGACGTTGTTTAGATCCAGTGACTAGACTCAAAGAGTCATGAGTTCAATACCAGGTCAGAGCAGTCGTAAACCAAAAACTAGTTGAGTTTAAGGGAAATAACTGAGACATCGGAAGAGGCAGGGCATGTGGAATCAAAGAAGAGGAAGAAGAGGAGGAATAAAGAGAAGAAGTAGCAGCAGACAGAAAAGATCAGTAGAACAAAGGAGGAGGAAGAAGAAGAAGCATACAGAAGAAATCAGTAAAAAAAAAAGAATGAGAAAGAAAAAGTACCAGAAAGAAGTAAACAGAAAATCAAAGGAAAAAGAAGAAAAGAAGAAGTACCAGACAGAAAAAAAATCAATAAACAAAGAGGAACAAGAAAGAAGAAAATAGTAAATTGAAGGAGAAATTAGAAGAAACAAAGAAGAAGAATACTAGAAAGACAAATTATGTAAAACGAAGAAGGAAAAAGAAGAAAAGAAGTATCAAACAGAAGAAATCAATAAAACAAAAGAGAAAGAAGACGACGAAGAAGAAGAAAAAGAAAAAAATCAGTAAAATAAAGAAGAAGAACCAGAAGGAAAAAAATCAGTAAAAAATAAATAAGAAAGAAATGAAGAAGAAGAAGAAGAAGAAGAAAAACAGTCAGAAAGATGAAATCACTAAAACGAAGGAGAAAGAAGATTTACCAGAAAGAAAAAAAATCCGTAAAACAAAGAAGTAGAAAAAGAAGTAAAACGACGAAGTGTTAAAATGTTGACAAAGAAGAAAGAAGAAAGAATATAAAAATGTGAAGGGCCAATAATTTTAAAGAAAAAGAGGAATAAAAAGAGATGGGAAAGAAAGTAAATCAAGATGAAGAAAGAAGAATGAAAAGAGGCGACCAGAAACGACTCTTTGTGTGACCGAGAAGACGTATTGGCCGACTAAACACGCGAGAATTATTTCCAACAGACTTACCGCCAATAAATTCCGAACGTAAACAGAAAGAAACACGAAATACAGTAGCTGTAGATGATGATGATCATGATGAAGATGATGATCTGTAGCAGCAGTAGCGGAACTAGAATTAGAGACAGTTTGAAAAGAGTAAAACGTGTAAAAATACAATAAAGAGAGTAGAATTATCAAACAGAAACAATGAGCATTTCAAGGAAAATTTGATTTATTTCCGAATACTTTTTTCATTCTGTCTCCGAAGACATTTGCTGTTTTAAAATTGTGTTTGCTTAGGCTGTTATTCTCATCACTGTAATTTTTGTGCGTTGACAGCTCATTCTTATTGGCTAACAATAACCGAAAACGAGACTAATTTGTTTATTTCCCGCTTTCATCAATTGTCTTTATTCGACACAACAAAGCTATGGTTCTACAGAAAGATGATAAGGATAACATAGACCGAACATGAGCAATGATGATGTTTTGGAGAGGATGTAAACTTATGCTTAACATCAGGAGGAAGAGGCAGCTGAAATTTCTGGGACACGTAATGAGAAAGGAGGGCTTGGAAATTTTGATACTCACAGGGTGGATAGCGGGAAAGAGAGACAAGGGAAAGCAACGCATGATATTCCTAGCGGGCTTAACACGTGAATGACAGAACAGGGTCTAGGAGAAGTAGCAAAGGGACAAAACTTATTGAGAGCTATAAGTGATAGGAGAAAGTGGAGAGCCATGATCGCCTACGTCCTGAAGTAACACAACACATAAAAAAGAAGATACAATTTTGTTCTTCCTCATCTTACCACGAGAGAAGGTGATAAAAAAGGTATGTGACAATAATGTATTTGCCACAGTAAGATTTGCCGATCTGGCAATATATATATTGATACTTATTGATATTTAACTGACCAGAGAATTCAGAGCAACGTGTATCTGTCCAGCTCTTATCTCAAATAACAACTTAAAAGAGACTGTTTGACCAACACAAGGAATGTTAAAAGATTCATGTTAAAATAAGAAAACAAATGAAAACTACAGACAAAAGTTCATTTTCTCCAACAAAAGACTCATTTCTGTAGTTTAGTGCTAACAGCAAGCAGAAATATTTCTCCTCCCGATGATGGCCATTTTGGTCGAAACTAGTCGAGGAATCTAAATGGAATAATAATAATAAAAAAAACGAAAGAATATTAATCTACAACCCAGTGTGTCTAAAGATTTTAATTTTTTAATTTTTTTTATTGTTCAATATATATATATATAAATTCCCAAGAGGATGAAATCCAGGTATAACTCAATGTTCAGGACAGAGAAAGAATATAATATAAAAGGCTCAACACTAATATTCCAAGGTTACAATTTATTAGGATATTATATCGAAAACATGTAAAAAATCGCTACACAACTGCAGTCATTTTTCCATGCGTACCAATGCATCTCATCAGGCGATTGTAAATTAAATTAGATTCAAAACCAAAATACAACTTCTTTCTACGAAAAAAAAAGAGGGTTATAACGTTCATGGGCTTTACTATGACCAACCAATCAAATATGACCTACCTTATATTTAAACTAAGCGAAGAAGCATTTATATATATATATATATATATATATATATATATATATATATATATATATATATATATGTTTCTGACACGTAGATTGTCAGCTAATGACAGCCAGACATAAACTACAGCAGTTACAAATGGTTGCATAAATTATACAACCAACTCGATGGGGTTGAACAATAGACAGGACACGCCATGTTGAATAATAGATAGGGCATCAGTTTTTGTTGTGTTTCTAACCAAATTTTCTTATGTTTTAATACTTTGCTTAGTTTCTGCAAGAAGTCTTTCTATATTTCAATGCATCTTCAGGTTTCCATATCACATTATTTCTCCTTTTCTTTACAAGTATTCGGAATTAAATGTTTTTCCAGTATTATTAGAGGGATAAAAGCAGACATATTAAAAAGCAATTTACAATAAAAACAGAAGCAATTCATATATATATATATATATATATATATATATATATATATATATAGATAGATAGATAGATAGATAGATATGCCTATTTTTATAATTATTATCAATATTTTGCATTATGTTTCTACTCCTACTTCCTCTTCTCCTCCACCTCCTCCTCTTCCTTTTCCTCCCCTTCTTTCTTGTTCTTCTACTCCCCCACTTCTTGTTCTTGTTTCTTCTCCTGCTCTTCTTTTTCGTCATCTTATTATTATTCTCCCCCTCCTCGACCTCCTCCTTCTTCCCTCCCCCACGTCTTCTTCTTTTCTTTTTCTTCTTCTTCTTCTTCTTATTATTATTATTATTATTATTACTATTATTATTATTATTATTATTCTCCTCCTCATTGTCCTTCTTCTTCTCCTCATCCTCTTCTTTTTTCTTCTTCCCCTCCTTCTTTTATTCTTCTTCTACTCCTCTTCTACCATGTTCTTCTTCTTCTTCTTCTTCTTCTTCTTCTTCTTCTTCTTCTCATCTTCGTCCTCTTCCCCTTCTTCTTCTCCCCTCCTCCCCTTCTTCTTTTCTTCTTCTTCTACTCCTCTTCTTGTTCTTCTTATTATTATTCTCGTCCTTTTTCTTCATCTCCTTCTCCTCTCCTTCTCCTTCTTCTGCTATATTCATTTACTGGTTAATTCTACAGGAAATGACGTAACCCCATGCATCCTTGTGTTTAGGATTAAATTAGTCATTGAGATGTCCTCATCTTTCAAAAAGGTTAAATCATCAACAGAATATAATCCGCTGATCTTTAATGAAATCGATGATGACCACCGTTTAATGGTTACCCTGGACTCGTACAGACCCCCAGATGGGACACACTCAATTCTTTCAACCAGCAGAAAGGTTACAAGCTCCGTTTCTTTCTCTCGGTACGACTATTATTTCTTTTCTTCTTTTTCCTTTTTTTCTTTCAGATGATTTGTCAGTTTCTCCTTCCACATCTTCTCTTTCAAATCGTGGTCATAATTTTCAACAGTCACATCCAACCCCGTAACATTTTAATTCAAATCTCCTCTATCGCATCCCATTATGTCAGTCTTGCTCCAGAAACAAATATGACTTCTTGTTAATTCCCAACAAATCCTAAGAGGATTAGCGTCCAAAGATAATCGTCTTGAATCTCTCTTTGAAAAATTAGCCGACTACATTCAAAAATAAATAGGAGACATGTATGCGCATGCGTGCCACGTTGTAACAGCGCAATGTCAACAACCTGTTGAACACTTTTTGACTTCTTGTATACATATTCTGCAATGGATCGCTGAGTGTATTACACATAGAAAAGATTTAAAACCAAACAGACGAAAAGGATTTTTATTCAGATTTTCAAATAGAACTTTTTCTCAGAAAGCAGAAAAAAAAGTTTTATACTCTTTGGTTGTAATTACAATCTGAGCATATAATAATTCTATTATGTAGATCTAGCTAGCTACCTACCTACCTACCTACCTACCTAAATAGATAGATAGATAGATAGATAGATAGATAGATAGATAGATAGATAGATAATCTGTAATGATTACGACAGATAGCTAGCTAGCTAGATAGATCTGAAAGGATTACGACAAATAGCTAGCTAGCTAGATAGCTAGATAGATAGATAGATCAGTTGTGATTACGACAGACAGTTAGCTAGTTAGATAGATAGTGTTGTGTAGCACCATACCATCCACGATCTAACGGGCAAGCCAAAAGGTTTGTGGACACACTTAAGAGAGCCTTGAAAAAATCAGAGTACGTGCCAACAGAAAGAGCCATACAACAGTTCCTACAAGTCTACAGAATCACCCTGAACGGAAACACACCATCTGGCCTTTCGCCAGCTGAGGTGATGTTTGCCCGCAAAATACCCTCGTTTTTTGATAAACTATTACCCAACAAAAATAAAAACCGGCATACACCGATAATGCCTAAAAGATCTTTCAAACCAAGCGAACGGGTCTATTTCAGAATGTTCAAGAAAAATATGGCATACTGGGAACCAGGTGCGATAATAAACAGACTGGGGAATGTTCTATACACGATCCAAGGTGAAAGATTCACTCACAGGAGACACATAAATCAAATACAGAAAAGACGGGTAGAGGAACCAAACTCGTCACCTTCCGAAAATGAAGACGCGATGGAGGCGATTTTCCTACTTATTCGAAATTCAAAAACCACAAGTAGCCACGGAGATCAGAAGAACAAGTCGGAAAAGAAAATTCACGGAACCACTAATAATAGACCATAAGCGATAAAAATATTAACTCCCCCCCCAAAAAAAGAAGCTAAGGAGGAGGGTGTTGTGGGACTCTCCCCTTTTTACATAAGATGGACTCGTCCAAAGTATACTTATACTGACAGAGAGAAAACCTGCTGTTGAGATACGTTGAGAAACGTGGAGATACGGTGAGATGCGTGGAGATACGTTGAGAGACGCTGAGGGATACGGAGATAGACACAGGGTGTTCTCATAGAGTTATACAAGAGTCCAGAGAGAGAGAGAGAGAGAGAGAGAGAGAGAGATGATTACAGCTTTACTTACAGAGACTTGTACTTTCTACTAACCCGCATTCGTGGACTACTAATCTTCACTTCAAGTCTGTATTCTTACGTTTAATACACTTATTTTTCTATCTCAATTACTGGCGTTGTTTATTTATTTGTGCAGGATTCCATTTACGGAATCCACAACAGATAGATAGATAGATAGATAGATAGATAGATAGATAGATAGATAGATAGATAGATAGATAGATAGATCTGAAGTGATTACGACAGATAGCTAGATAGATCTGAAGTGATTATGATAGATAGATAGATAGATAGATAGATAGATAGATAGATAGATAGATAGATAGATAAGTAGATTTGACGTGATTACAACAAATATATAGACAAATTGATAGATAAATCTGAGGTTATTACGACAGATAGATAGATTATGAACAGAATGAGATAGACAGATAGATAGATATGAAGTGACTGCGATATATATATATATATATATATATATATATATATACAGTGGTGGGAAATAAACATTCGTACACCTGAAAAATTGTATTTTTATAAATGTAAAAGCCTTAACTAAAACAAATTTTGATATATTTTATGTGTAAAGATACATTTTATTAAAAAATAGTAATAAACTTAAGTAATTCTTGTTCTAACAGAAATTAGTGTTTTTTTTTATTTTAACTGATGTAAAAAGTATTCGTACAAAACAAAAAAAGCATATTAAATTAATTTAATACTTTGTGGAATATCCTTTATTGAGTTCAACAGCTACCAGTCTATTCCTGTACGACTCAACTAATGATTTGCACACATTGAGTGGTATTTTGTCCCATTCTTCTTGGCATATTGTCTTCAAATTCTTGATATTTGTTGGTGTTCTTTTCCCAATTTGAATTTTCAAATATCGCCATATATTCTCGATTGGGTTCAAGTCTGGGGACTGACTTGGCCATTGAAAGACATCAACGTTACTTTCAGCTAACCATTTCCTTGTAGATCTAGCGGTATGCCTAGGATCATTATCCAGTTGGAAAACCCAATCAGGAGGTAGCCGAAGTCTCTCAACAGAACGCATTAAATTGTCTTGCAGGATTTTCTGGTTGCTTTCGGCATTCATCTTGCCATCTATTATTGATATTCTGCCAGCACCTTTTGCAGAAAAACAGCCCCAGATCATGATACTGCCACCACCAAACTTTACAGTTGGCAAAGTTTTCTTTGGTAAGTAGGCTTCATCGTCCTTCCTCCACACATGATTTCGATAATTATGACCAAACAACTCTATTTTAGTTTCATCTGTCCATAGTACTTTTTCCCAAAACGAATATTCTTTATCCTTATGCTCTCTAACGAATTTTAGCCTAGCATCTCTGTGTCGTTTCAAGAGGAGTGGAGTCTTCCTTGGGATGCGTGATTTCAGCCTGTTTTTGTGTAGTTCATTACTTATTTTACGCTTGGTTACTTTCATCCCTAATGCACGCAGATGTTCCTGCAGCTCTTCTCAGGTAATCTGTGGATTTTGTTGGATCTGGCGTCCTAATATCCTTGCTGATCTTAGAGAAATCTTCCTCGGAGCACCTGTCTTTGGTTTTCGATGCTGTTACGAGTTTTAAACCTTGCAATGAACGAAGCAATTGTAGTAAAATGAATAGTCAGGTTATTAGAAATCGTTCTGTAACTGTTCCCATCTTTCCAAAGAGACAAAATGTGTTGGTTTTGAGAAATAGTCAATTCTTTACCTTTTGGCATTTTTAGAATCTTCCCGTAAAACTAGAAATTGCAGAATGCTCTGATAATGGCTAATAGCGTTAACTATAATTGCTGATAACTTTACTGGAACATTCTAGAATATACTTTTTTCATAATTAATTGATTATTTTATTCTAATAATTGATTTGTACGAATACTTTTTTCATCAGTTAGAATTTTTTTTTAAATGCATTAATTTATGTTAGAATAAGAATTAATTAAGTTTATTATTATTTTTTAATAGTATGTGTCTTTATACATAAAATGTGCCGAGATTTGTTTTATTTAAGGCTTTTACATTTATAAAAATACAATTTTTCAAGTGTACGAATATTTATTCCCCCCCCACTAGATAGATAGATAGATAGATGGTCTGAGCTCTAAAATTAATCAAGGCAGTTTTTTCTTCCCCCGATGCAGATCTCCAGAGCCAGATGATTACTAATGGGTGACTGTGACATAACAGTAAGTAATTAAGTTCATGAGGATAAGGAGGATAGATGAGGTTTGACTTGAAGAAGATAAGATATTGGAGATAGATAGATAGATAGATAGATAGATAGATAGATGGTTTCAGCTCAAAAATTCATCAAAGCAGTTTTTTTCTTCTTGGTAAATCTCCAGAGCTAGAGTATTACTAAAGGGTGATTGTGACATAACAGTAATTAAGTAAGTTGATGAGGATAAGGAGGTTTGACTTGAAAAAGATAAGACGTTGTACTATTTAATCACTATTATTCACACCCCGCGTTTTCTCCAGTCAAGTTAAACAATTCCATTCCCAATGAAGCCCGATGCAGTGTACAGCTGTTGCATTACCTTCTGCACCCTCGAAATCTCAAGGGGGAATCCTTTAGACAATCCATTAGTAAAGAAGCAACTAAAATGGTTGGCTCACATAATCTTTGCCTTATAATCCTCAGAAAACTACTTCATCGAATCTACGGTCAGCAATTATACTTTGTTAAAACTTCTTCTTCTTCTTCTTCTTCTTCTTCTTCTTCTTCTTCTTCATCTTTTTCTTCACTTCTTCTTCTACTCGCTCTTCTTCTTCCTCGTCTTCTTCACTCCTTCTTCACTTCTTCTTCTTCTTCCTCTTCGTCTTCTTCTTCTTCCTATTCTTCTTTTTCATCTTCTTATTCTTCTTCTTCCTCTTCTTCTTCCTTTTTTCTTCTTCTTTTTCCTCTTCTTCTTTTTCTTCCTCTTCTTCTTCCCCTCTTCTTATTCTTTACTTCTTCTACTCCCTCTTCTTCTTCCTCGTCTTCTTCTTCTTCTTCTTCTTCTTCTTCTTCTTCTTCTTCTATGTATGGTATCTCTTCAGAATGTTAGTGATTATGTTTCCCAACAACCTATTGTCCTTTGACGCTCTGGGCAATATTTGTCTTACACATGGAAGATTCAAGTTTCCATAGCCCAACATGTAAAGTGACATTCATTTCTATATTCACAATTTAGAGAAATATTAATTGACAATACAAGTATACTCCATTTTGAAAATAAAAAAACCAAAACTTCAAATACTTGAGGCCCTCTCTATAAGAAAAAAACAAGCTACACTAAATAAGATTAATTATGAGTAAAGAAACAATGTTTTAAAATTTACTTTTAAAAGGTTTTAAAATACGTATATCGTAATTTGTAAAAATAGAAATATAAAGTTACCTTCCTCAAAATACCGTTAATTTTTGAAATAACAAATCGATTTTCATGGGCATTTAGAAAATAATTCACAATTATCAATTACATTATTCTTTGGTCTTAGCAATTCATGCCTGAAGAGGATCTTAGATGAGATTGAAACTACTTGTGAAAATAAAAGGAGTGAGAAAAACTACGACGCCTTCCTTAATGAGTTTAATAACAATATTAAGAATTTTATCCATGAATTTGACAGAATTAAAATTAAAATAAATAGACATAATACGTTTAGATTATTTAACCAAGCATTCTTGAATGAAAATATATGCATAAATACACACACACACACACACACAAAATATATATATATATATATATATATATATATATATATATATATATATATATATATATATATATATTTAAAGTAATTAATGGATATTTTCAGTCTTAATGCATTTGTCAGGCCTGCAAATATTACATTGCAAAAGGAATCGTGTTTTTGTAAACACAGATAATATATATATATATATATATATATATATATACACACACACACACACACACATATATATATATATATATATATATATATATATATATATGTGTGTGCATGTGTGTGTGTCTATGTGCGTGTGAATAAAGTTAGTTGAGAATCTATGAAAATGGTAAATATATAAGACAGTTTGGATAATTCAATTTGATATGATAAATCGGCGCCATCGAAAACAAAAAAAAATGTATCACGAGGTTAAAATCTGCTATATCGAGACAAGACGTGACTTTCCTCAAGCTGTTGAACACTTAATATTTGCAATAATACTATCGTTATAGAGATAAGATTTCAATTAATTTCAATTTTTCTTCTTCTTCAAAATGTTGCGACGTGCGGATAATTTCGAAATCTAGTCGGGTTCCTTATATTTTGTTGCACGCAAAATCTAGGAGTATCAATGTTATCATAAAACGAAATGCTATATTAATAATCCCTCGTAAAAAAAGGGATTATTTTTACGATCCATGATATACTTCGGCTTGAAACCACAAAGATTTGACTAGCCTTAAAAAAATATCGAAAACATCATTCTTTAAGATTTATTTTTTTTATCAGTACTAATTTAGTAAGAACAGGCTATGAACAGAAATAGGTCGGTCGTAAATTAATCGGATGTTGGTTCTTAGATCATGGTATTTTCAATGCATTTTCGTCTGTGTAAAATATGTTCATTCTTTTTTAATAGAACGGCATCTTCCAAATCAAAGATATGGTCACGAATGTTTCAATGGATTTGAGTGTATTGTTTAATTTTAAATTCTTGTTATATTTGCGTATCCATTTTTTTTTAAATTCTGAATCACGTTTTATCTCGCTAATGGGGATTTCATTCTTGTGAAGGAAGTTTTTTTAAGAACGCCAGTTCAACGGAGAGAACATCAATTATGTTTCAAATTGTCTCTTTTATTTTCCATACACACACACACACAGACACACACATATATATATATATATATATATATATATATATATATATATATATATATAAAGATTGAAGTCAACACTTAGAGACGATTGCGTCTAGCATGAAACAGCCTGTCGCCTCTAAGTGTTGACTTCTATGTTCACTTTTTATATTTACACACGCTCTATGTCTGATATTGAGCACTTTATCCCATAAATATAGCATATCTTAAAACTATATTTCTTTATATATATATATATATATATATATATATATATCAAGTCATTTTTATGTTTATACATTCTTTTTATAGATAAAAATATTTAAGTAAATGCTCTGTTTATAATAAACAGTATTAATAACATTTACCGGCCTGAATGTCCGAGAACTTGTCATAGAAAATATTCGTCCTCCGACAGAATTCGAATCTGTATCCTATACGGAACCATCATTTAGCTTGACGTGCCTTTACCGATTTGGCTACAGAGGAACGTTCGGTTAGCGAGGTCGATTTTACTGCTTTTAACTTCAATCATCCCTGAATCTCTCACGTACATTCATGTCTGCTCATGGTGTATCAAATGTAAACGAATGACGTCACACATGAAATGGACAAAGTCCGACAACTATTTTAAGACATTTTATGATTATACATTTTCTTAGATACAAATATTTAAGTAAATGCTCTGTTCATAATAAACAGTATTCAACAACATTTACCGGCCTGTATGTCCGAGAAATATTCACAGAAGACGAATATGTGTGTGTGCGTGTGTGTGGGGGGGGTGCGCGTGTGTTAATACATTTTAATGCCTCCAAAATTAAACTGCTCTCATTAAACGACCATAAAGAAATTTACGCCATTATAGCTGATGCTTGAGTTCTGGAGAGCATCTCACTGCGTCTTCTTGGCCTCAACTGACTTGAATCAATAGCAGAAACTACTGGAAGGAAAGTTGGTGCACTGTGTCGTGCCAGAAGGTTTTTCCCGTCAGAATTCTTGTTGGACATTTACAAATCTACCATTTGTCCGTGCATTGAATACTGCAGCCATATCTGGTCTAGTGTTCTGCTATTCATCTCGAGGTTCTTGACAAAATACAGGGAAATTTTACCCGGGGCTACCGGCTCGGAATAACCCCAAGTAAAAAAAAAGGCCACGTGCCACATCCCGCCTTGTGAGAAGATAACGGGTAAATACCGTTATGTTCAGCTCTTAGCGGGAGACTAACGTACCCGTGTCTCGATTCCGAGGCCTCTGTTTGTATTGCCATCCACCGTGTCGTAATGGGAAATTGAGTAAGGAGTTGGTCGGAGGAAGAGCTGACATAACATATGTTTTTTTTTAGGTTTAATCTACCTCCCCTCCGGGACGTGCAGACGAAGCCCCGAATAAAACTTCTACATAAAATATGGGAAACACGGTTCGCGTTCTTATTTCTGAACATGGCTTTTTTTTCTGTCATTGGGTTAATTTTGTGCACGCATCATGCCCTAACCTCAGTTTTAGGTGCACGATGATGAGATCAAGATTCGGAATGTAATGTAGGGTGAACATTGGCCGAACGGTGGACACCTTGGGCGAGCCTTGACGGGACTACTCAAACAATCGAATGAAATGCGTAAATATTTACAGATTTTTTCGGTTAAAATAAAGTATACCACCTGCTTCCTGCGTGCGCATCCATCATCATTCAGTCAGCTAAGTGCGATATGTGATACACGCATGGGCGACCATGTATCATTCAATACATGACTGACGAGGCAGACTTTTTTTCCCGCAATAGTTTTCCATTTCTTTCTGCAGTAGACTGGTTGCCAACCAAGGTTAAAGAACCCAGACTGTACTGTTATTTAACCCATAGCTGGGGGAGACGAGATGGATCCCTACCTTTTCCCAGTGCGTAAGTGAATCTAAAGAACTCAACTGGAATTCGAACTCGGCTCTCCGCGTTCTCACCCCGAGCCGATATCCACAATGCACATCCAACATAAAAGACGAAAATGGGGAGCGTACATTTTATTAATCATGTTAATTATTACAGCAAAATTATCTTTAATATCTTATTGCTCAACGAAGTTACTCCCATTGGTGAGGACACATATGTCCTTTTAGATGGAACCAGAAGTTCTCGAAAATCTCAATAACACCTGAACGAATGTAGATTAATGTGGTGAACAGCCCCGTAGAAGCAAGCGAGCCAGAGTAGGCTTGCATCTGGTGTATAGGAAAATAAGGGTCTTACATTAACGTGACATCAGCAGGTTTGCTTCGTGAAAATGGCATTACTCTCCCGTCCAGCCATTCTAGCAGTTTGTGCAATGAGAGGTTTTTGTATAGTTTGGAATGCTTCCACCAATAGCAAGTCGTGTGCTGGTTGGTCGGACTGGAGGAGGCAATTTGCCTGTGTAACCGAGAATAACAGCGAAGAATGCTGATTGACTGGGGAACCGCGGTGTTGGCCTGATAAAAGATTGCTAGAGCCGTAAAAAAGGGGACAGAAACGTCGGCTATACGTAGTGACGTGTGAAGAAAGCGAGAACGGTGAATTGAACCAGCGATATTTTGATTTGTACAAGTGACGTTGCAGCAATAGACTTATTTAAGCTACAGTTACAAATTGTTTTCCACCCTTCAAGACCATTCCCACAGACGAAACACTAAGTTTTCGCTCATTTAA